CCTTGAAAACTGCAAGGACTCATCCAAGCAGTCACTGCAGGGTCAGCAATGACTGAGCGCAGACAAAAAAAAGAAAAAAAATGAGAGAGAAGGTGTGGTGGAGAATGCCATTTTTCATCTATAATTCATCCCACCAATTCACTGTCTATTCAGTATTCTTGCTGGCATGAGATTAGCTCACAGGAAACTAGATGCCCCATGAGGATTATGAGATCAACATGTTCAAGCTTCTGCGTGGAGACCTGCCTAAGCATCTGTGGTCATTTTCCTGAAAAGGCTCTTCACTACAGTATAAAGCATACTAGGCAAAAATTGTACAGCGGGGGAACCTTATAGTTGGAACAGGATAATCCAGTGTCCTGCCCTATATTCACTACAGATATTTGTGGCATATCAGATTGTTAGACATTTCAAGGATCTTGAAATTATGTACAAGGAACAGACTCTTCCAGTAGCATAGAACACTAGCACATTGGCTAGCCTATACAGTGGGGGTATTTATTCTGTTATATAGGATGTTGCTTTATGAGTCAGTCGATGAAGCTATACCGTGCAATGTCATCTGTTCTGACTGGTGGTGGTATCTTGGGCCATGATCTTTCCTAGCCCTATTACCAAAATCCTTTAACTGGAAATCCCAAGGATGGAATGTAGGACCTGCTATATACATGGGACACTGCTCAAAACTTAGCTTTGGCCCCTTAACATACTGGGGAAGGAATTCTGGCCCTGAGTAAGTTCCTAAATAGAGAGATGGTTACACCTGTAAAGACTGCATTACCAACTGTGCACATCCCTCAGTCTGTTTTGCTAGTTCACAACGGGAAATTCCTCCCTGGACTGAAAAGGTCCCTGCTCCATCCAAGGATTCTGTGCAAGAAACCTTACCAGTCTTGTACAGCATTGAAAGACTCCTGGTTGGAAATATCATACATGAGTAAAAAACCCATTGCTCCCCTGTAGTAGGCTGTTGTGATGGTCCGATACCGCTCTTGGCCAGCTGTGTCCTTAGAAAGACATAAACAGAAAAAGGACACTGGTCAATTATATGACTTCTCCTTTCAGACAAAGCCCCCATGTGGGATCCATATCTTCCCACTTGCTTTGTCAAGCCTTAAAGCCCATTTAATCTAGCATCTTTTTTTTACTGTCACCAGGATTTCTCTCCATGGCTTGCCACCTTGCCTACTTGTGCAATCAATCAACCTATTCACCACCACCCCTGACTCAACTGAGCTCCTCTTACATTTATACTTTACATTTTTCAGACTGACATGTAGCTACAGATGCAAAATATAAATATATAAAATATAAATATTTTAT